GTGCGGTTGGCGCAGGATAGAGCAGGGTTTAGGGCTGTTGTGCATAGGGTCGCTATGAGTCGGAAACGACTCGATGGCACATAACAACAACAACAATCTTAAATCTCCCCCTAAAAATCAGTTATTTGAATATGCGTCAAAGTAAAATTGTACTCCAGAAAATCATCAGTGGTTGATTTTCCAAGTAGATTGCCAAGCGTATTATTATTTTTTTTAGTACCTCTGAGTGATCTTTATCAGCCAAATATGTTAACCTTTTATCATCTAAGAATCCTGTTTTTTATTTCAACAACATCAGCAACTAGGAAACTACTTCACTTAAATAATCTGTTTTAAAAGACTTCATTTGAATTTTTTTTAAAGGGGAATAAGGAATATTGAGTGTCAAGAGCAATCTCAGGAAATCCATTTTCAGAGTTGTCTGCCAGGAGTACTTGGGGCTAACCCCTGGTGTGCTTTGTACTTATCAGTCATTCTTGGTTCTTGCTTGTGCCTCTGACTTTAACAGATGTTCTGTTCTTACTCAGGAGAGTAGTTAGGGTTTAAAGGTAGCACTTTGCAAGAAGTATGTTTTATTGCTTTAAGTCAAATCTCTAACCCAGTTCACACTAGTTCAGTCACAGTCAGGAAACAAAATGAAAATACAGTATGGGTATGTTGTTGTTATATGCTGTCGAGTCACCTGAGGCTCATAGTGACCCTCTGTACAACAGCTCTAAACCCTGCTGCATCCTGTGCCAATCTTATTGTCTCAGATACACCTACCCCATTACCCTAGTCACTGAATCGATCCATCTCATTAAGGGTCTTCCTCTCTTGCGCTGTCCTGCCACCCTTCCAAGCATGTTGTCCTTCTCCAGGGTCTGGTCCCTCCTTGCAACATGTCCAAAGTATGTCAGAGGAAGCTTCAGAATCCTTGCCTCCAAGAAGCAGCTTGACTTCACCCTCTCCAGGATGAATTTGTTTGTTCTCTTAGCAGTCCATGGTTCTCCAGCATCACAGCTCAAAGGTTTCAATTCTCCTTCTATCATCCGTAGTCATTGTCCAGTTTTCCGATGCATAGCAAGTAATTGCAAAAACCATGGCCTGTATCAAGCACACAAGATTGAAAATCCAAAAGACAAAATTAGATGTTGAAGCCCTACAGTGGTACTGGACAGAAGTACAGTGAACATTGTTAGGACCCTGATTTCCAAGGCTGTGTGAAGAGTGACACATTGAAAGAGGAATAGTTGTGGCCGTCTTAGGGTAGTGGACACTGATGTTTCTACCTCTACTGGTCAAGAAATTTGATTGCTATAAAACACCCATATTGCTTTTGTTTTTGAAGATGGATATTAGGTTTCCAGCAGGACATTGACCAGCAGGATTTTTTTTTTCTTTTCCTTTTTGATTATTATCCCAGTTTGCCTACATTTTACAAATTCAAGTCTGTTCCAGTTTTGCTTCCTTGGCCATGACTGAAACAGAACCAGCGGAAAGCCTTGGATTATATTTTTGTTCTTTGGTTTTTCAATATACTTGAGAGCTTTTTCTCTAGTAAATAAGGTTTTGTGACAGTAGGACTAGATTTTTAGTTTACTGATACCCTCCACAAGATTTTTTTAGGAGAGGAGGTTATCCATATCCATCTCAGGAATGATTCTCAGGTCTGCTTGGTGGCCTCTCTTGCAGTGTGTTGGCCCAGTGGAAGCTGCCTCTGTTGTGTGACTCTAACCCAAAGGTTCGATTCCACCAACTGCTCTTTGGGAGAAAGATGGGCAATCTTCCATGAAATTTACTGCCTCTGAAAACTTGGCTGCAGGGTTAACTATGAATCTGTCCTCACTTGAAGGTACCTAAGAACAAGAGGAATGCAGTCCAAGGATATGGGTATAGAAATCACCAAAAAATTTTAGAAAAAGCAGAAGGAAATATCTAAGGTTACAGATTTTGCTCTGCTATTCCCTGCTTTCAGCCAAGATCCATCTAACATCAGCTACAATATCTCTAGTACCACGACCCCTTCTAAACCCAGCCTGGACTTCTGGTCGTTCTCTGTTGATGTGCTGTTCCAGTCATTTTTGGATAATCTTCAGTA